ACTTAGAGCCCAGGAGCTCCCTGACTCAGCCTTGGCTGGAAGGGGCTTGTCCCTCTCAGGATGTGTCTGGAACTGTTCTAAGGAGAGATGCAGCGCTTCCTCCACCTGTGATGACAGCTGGGGTCCGCACTTCCTAGCAGGCTAGTGGTCCAACCGGTTTAGTTGCAGGAATGATTCACCCACAGCTTCCCGATGGAGAACACCGGTGACATGTGGCACTTAGTCCTGCACCAGCGGAGCCACAGGAATGAGTAAGACCTGGAGGAAAAGAGAGGAGCGGAAATCCAAGTTTCCTCTGAAGAATGTTGCATATAAGTGTACATAAACTTCCCTATTTGTTTGGCCCTTTTTGTAATATGAATTTTCTTTTGGCTTCAGATGACTGTGTTTCAACAAGGACAGTGGAGTGGAATGTGTATCTAATGCCACTACAATCAATAAGGAAAATCTTGAGCTAAGAATCCGCATTGGAACTTTGACATGATACAGAAAAGATCGGCCTGAGTGCCTATGAGCTCAGTTAACTGTATGTTTTCTGATAATTCCTTGATACAAGAATTGGAGTCTCCTTATAAATTCTCTCCTTTTGACAAGACTGAATTCATTCATAGTGTAATAAGCATATTACTGCAAACAGTTGTCTTTGTTGCAAAGAAGTATTTATGCTTCAGAAACCTAAACAAAACTTCAGTAAATGTTTGAGGAACTCAGAACAGTGTAGCTGACTATGACGAGCAGGAACTTGGAAGTCAAGCAGCCCTGGGTCTGCCATCAGGCTCTGCCCCTTTCCAGCCTTGTGCCCTCTTTCGGCCTTTGCTTTCTCATCTGGTAAGTGGAGATGATACGTTTCTTACAGAGTTGCTCTGAGGAGTAAATGAAAGGACCTATGTGAAGTGACTAGCATCATCCCTGCCCACAGAGGGGCTGGATAAATGGTAGCTGTTGGTTGGCATGGTTTGTAGCAGGCACACTCCTTTAATGCAGAAACAAACATTGTTTTTTTAAAAATGGAGAAGGGAATTAGCTGGGGTCATTTCTTTGACTCTCTTTATGTATCCAACTGTGGGCTGCAGCAGTAGATTTATGGACTGAGTCAAGTAATCACATCCCCCAAACACATTTTTTAAATTTAGATTATTTTTAACGACAACAAAACTTCCGGAAAGCTGTTGAACTCAAAGTGAACCAGTGGTTCCACTATTATTTTAACATTAGACTATTCTTTTTGAATTGTAATGATGTGCATAGGTTACGTGAAGAAAAAAATCTGGACTTTTTGACTATGTATTGGTTAAGATGCTGGAAAAAAAAAAGAGAGACCTCAGTAAATGTCATACTTTTTCTTTTTAAACCTCCCGCTCTAACCTAATCTGTGATTCTCATAAAATATACTGAGTGTGAGGAAAAGATTAGTAACTAAAGGTGATTTTACAGTCTTTTAGATAGAGACAGTATGTCCAAAATTTTTTCTTCAAAGTCAAAAACCACAACTCTTACATTCTATTGTGCTATTTTTTAAAGTTTACACTGTTTCTTAAATTACATATTGGATCTTGTGTGTGGATCCAATTTCATAGTTTGCCCAGTTTTATACACTAGAATAACTTTCTTATTTTATTTCTTGAAAGGGACTTTTTTTTTTTTTTTAAATTAAACAGTCTGCAATTCTTTAGGTTTCATTAAAAATCATTTCTAAGAAGTTTGTGTTGTTTAAAAATGACATTACTGGGACAATAATGGTAGATTTCAGGTATCTAAATAGTGACACTTCTAATAACGTTAAAATGTTCTGGAGCGAGGCCTGTGTGTAGTCGGAGGTGGGCTGACTTGCAAGACACACCTGTGAGGGTGGCGATTATTTTTCTTTGGCGTCACCTTGTCTGGCATGCTGGTCCCACCCTCTCCCTTCTCAAGGCCTTGCCTGTGCTGTTCCCAGAGATGTCCTGCACCCTCAGCCATCCCCATCAGTGTGCAAGCACCTTAAACACAGACCCCACCTCGAACCCCACCTGGCCTCCAGCTCTGCCCCATTTCTCTCTGACCCCTTCATGGCAAACCCTTAACAAAGCTGGGAATATGCGCTGATGTCACATCCCCTCGTCCCACTCCAGTGGAGTGTAGCTCCCTCCTAGCCACAGAAACTGCTCTTATCAAGTCCCCAAGACCCAAAGGCACACAGAGCCAGTGGCCAGTCCTCTGCCTTCCGCTTTCTTGATGTCCCAGTGGCACTGGACCTGGCGGGCCACTCCCTTGTTCCCGAAACATTTGGATCTCTTGGCTCCTTGGCCGGGAGCCTGGCTTTCCTGATGTCTCACAGGCTCCCCCTTCCCAGTCTCCTTGCTGGCTCCCCCGCCTCCACCACCCAGGCCTCCACTTGGGAACTGGCTGGTCTGTCCTCAGACACTGGCTTTACCCTTGGGCACTCACTCCAGGCCAGCGATTTTCAACCGGTGAGCTGCAAGAATTTTTAAAACATGCAATACCTGACTGGTTGGGGGTGCTGACCTCTTTTCCCTTAGACTGTCAAATTAAAAAATGACAACAGCCAACACAACATAGCTATCCCATGTGAATGAATCAGAATTACACCTATTTTTGTCAGATATGCAAAATATATATATTTTTTGGTGTGCCACAGAATTTTAGTACTTAGTTTATGTGTGCCATGAGGTGAAAAGCTTGAAAATCACTGCTCTAGGCCATCTCATCCAATTCCAGGACTTCAAATGTGGATCTTGGCCCAGTCGCCCCTCCCTGTCCACGTGGCCTGTTTGACATCTCTACCTGGATGTCTGCTAGAGAAGTTTCATGTGGACAAAGCAGAACTCTTCATCATTTCCTCCAAACCCACCCATCCAAACGTCGTCCCCATCCCTGTAAATACCACCACCATCTACCCATTTGTTAAGGTCAAATTAATACCAGTCATTTACTTTTATTTAAAATAATTTCAAATTCTTTAAAAAGTCGCAAGACTGGTACAAAGAGCTCCTATTTACCTTAACCAGATTTCCCCACTGTTAATATATTACCACATGTATGTGATTGTGTGTCTTATCATAGTCTTTCTGCATGTACATATTACCATTTCTTTAAATCATTTGGCAGTAAATTGCAGACATGATACCTCTATTATGCCCTTAATATTTTAGTGTGCATCTCCTTACAAGAACATTCTTATACATAACCCAGTACAACTATCAAAGTCAAAAAGTTAACACTGACACAATGTTATCATCATGAACTCCAGTCACATTTCATAGATTGCCCCAAATAATGTCCTTTATAGTTCCGGATCCAAACCCACAGGGGTGCCCTACATTACACAGGCATTTGGTGATGGGACACCATGGACACGTGTAGTTTGGGCTCTCTCTCTCTTTTATTTTATCTTGAAAACCCTATGATGAGACAGTCCAAAATGAAATATGAGAAAGTGCTGGAAGAGAAGACTTCTGGGTCGGAAAGCATTCAAAATTACCAGGGAAGAACAGAGCCACAGGCATGAGTGTGGAGGAGCACAGCCGGGCTGTTCAGAACAGGACACTGTGGACACCACTCATTCATGGAGTCGCCAGGTGTCCGAGCCGACTCAACAGCATGTAACACACATCCAAAGCAGCATCCTGTGTTGCAATTAGATCAATGTATCTCTTTAGTCTCCTTCAATCTGGAACAGTTCTTCAATCTTTCCTTGTCTCTCGTGACTTTGGCATTTTTGAAGACTACAGGCCAGCTACTCTATAGAATGTCTGTTTGGGTTTGTCTGCAGTCTGCTTGTGATTTATGCATTTTTAGCAGGAATAGCAGAAAAGTGTTGCTATGTTCCCTCGGTGCTTTATATTGTGAGGCTCATGATGCCAATTTGTTCTGTTAGTAGTGATGTTAACTTTCATCACCTGTCTGCCAGGTTTCTCCACTGTCAAGTTAACTAATAATGGCATTTATTAGTTAATTAATGTCAATTAATTAGTAAGTATTTTAGGGAGATATACTTTGTGACCATGTCTACATTTACTAGTTGGCATTCTACTCTAAGTTAACACTTTCCCTTATCCCTCATTTATTAATTCATTATTTATATCTATATAAATTCATGGGTTCTAATTTACTCATTTGGTTATATCTGTTATTGTCATTAACTATTTTGATCCTCAAATTGTCCCAGATTTCACCAATGGGAACCGTTTTGTTTGTCTGTTTGAACCCTGACTGATAGGTACACCATTGTGGTATCCAGGGTCTACTTCTCAGATTTTCATGTCCATTTTCAACCAAATGATTAGGGTGACATGGACCCCACCTCAACCCCTGAGTGTGCCTTGATTTGTCTTCTGCTAATCAGCGTATCCTATGCCCCTGAATATATAGTGATCAGTTCGAGTGGGCGCCTACCCCATTTGGGCTGATGAGAGCTTTGGAGAAATCTGATGGGGTTCCTGGAAAGGGAGTTTATTTGCTTTTCCAAGGTAGCTACTGGTAGAGGAGCTACCAAGGAACCCTCTTTCTCTCTTGATGACGTACTATATAGATGAAAAGTTTTGACCTGATGCAGCCAAGTCTGCCGCCAAGAAGGAAGGTAACCTGAGGTCAATTTTACTACATGGAGGTGGGAAGAAATGAGAAAATGGCGGAGAAACAGGACTGGAGCTGTGGTGACACCACAAATTTCTGGATCATTCTGTGCCTAAAGCTATCTGTGGACTCATTAATTATTTGCAAGAATAAATTACTTTTTTTATTTAAGCCAGAGTGAACTAAGCCTTCTGTTGCTTGAAACCAAAAGAATCCTAAAAGAATACACTCACCTAAACAGCAGCAGAAGGCCAGCTGCCAAGGGAAGCAGAAGGGTGGTTTCTGCTCCTTATGAAACCTGACACAATGGGTCCAGGTTGCTTGTTGCTACTTCAGCCAATGAAGCAGAGACAGGGTTGACTCATATATGAGCATTTATTCCAGTAATGCTGGCAGCATAGGAGAGCAGCAGGATTCGTCCACATAAAATCTGCTCTACCCGTTCCCACATAAGCCAGTTGCTTATATTGGGTAGAAGAACAATGGTTACACAGGAAAGTGAGCAAAAGGAGTAAGAATGGGTATAACGATTTACAGGTTACAGGAAATGAGGGCTGGGGGTTTGCAAAATGGTGGAGTGCCTCCGGGACCCCTTTGTTTCAGGGACAAGGTTGTTATCTTTCCATGATAAAAGCCCAGCCAGTGTGGCTCAGCGGTTGAGCATAGACCTAGGATCCAGTAGATCTCAGTTCAGTTCTCAGTCAGGGCCATGCCCGGGTTGGGGTTTGATTCCCAGTAGGGGGCATGCAGGAAGCGGTTGACCAATGACTCTCTTAGCATTGATGTTTCTATATCCCTCTCTCTCCCTCTCCCTCTCCCTTCCTCTCTCTGAAATCAATAAAGATATATTAAAAAAAAGAATGGAGCACACTCCAAGGTCAACTCCCATGTCCTGGAGGATACAATTCCCAGCCAGGTTAGAAAGTGCTTTTTCTGATTAGAACAGAACATGATTAATATTTCTTATAATTATAGTAACAATCACAGCCAAGAGAGCATGATCAACATCTCTGCCCCCAACACTTATGACCAACAGAACACTTCCTTGGACCCTGCTGGCCTTACCAGCCACTCTGGAAGCTTCTGGGGGTATACTTACTGTGGATCCCAGTCTTTATAGCAACATGTGACTCCAGTGTGTGCTCAATCAGTGTTTCATGACTACATGTGTGAGAGCTCCCAAAGTTGCCCTGTTTACCACAAAATCCCTGGCACGTAGAACAGTGTGGGAGCCACAGAACACACATTTACTGAATGAATGGATAAATCACCCCAGCATGTCTTCAGCCCCTCCCCTCAAATCCACCAAAGGAAAAGAAGCCAAAAGCTTGCATGATATTTTATTCTTCTGAGGCGGGGAAGGCAATGGAGGAAGGAGGTGGGAGAATCTAGAAGCTGACTCTGGATTTAGGAAGGAAGGAAGCAGGGGCCACGAGTGCTGGAGTTCTTGTGCTTTCTCCCCAGGGTGGAGCCAGAGGCCCCAGAGGCTCACAGGAGACCTAGAAGGGAGAGAAGAGCCAGCTGTGGGATGTGTGGAGTCCACAAAGGAAACAGAGACTCAGAGCCACCTGTCCCTGCTCAACACATCAGAGTCACATCCTGGAAGCCAGTCAGGAGCCTGTGTGGGTTGTGGGGCTTTGAAGACAAAAGCCACAAGTTCTAATGACAGGAAATAATTGGGACTGCACACTAAGGGGTGAGCCTATATCTGCCAGCACCAAGTCCCAAAGCATCAATGAAGTCCAGAGAAGCTGCCAGAGCCAGTCATTGGCCCCCTCCCACCCCA